GCATCTCTTTTAAACTCATCCTCCACATTGAACTCAAGCTTTGTCTGCATGTCAAGTAGCCTAACCCTGTAGAGACCTGCCCCTGTGTCTGCTCCAGTAGTACTACAGTATGTCTCAGTTCCTTAAGCAGGAAATTCTTTAATTAGAAAGAGAGAGACATTGGGAATGGCAAAAGGAAAAACAAATTGCTGTCACTATTTAAGATCCCTACACTTTCCAGAATCATGATGATGCTTATTAATCCAATCACAAGTTATTTTAAAGTGATCACATCAAGAGTATGCTCTCATTGAGGAACAATTTAAACGTTATTTTTCAGGTCACATTCTGTAGTGTAACATTCACCCATGGGTACAATGCCACTGCAGTGATCCAAACTCCCAGGAAAATAAGCCCCCCAAAAAGGCCAGTTTTGTTCTCTTAGCAAACTCTGAGCAACAAAAGTTACCACAACAGGCCCTGGGGAGGTTCTGCTGCTTGGTTGGATAGCAGCACCCACAAGGCAACCTGGGTCAGAACAGGTGCACGAGGGAGTTCAGTGAATGAAATAAAAACCTTTGCTTGAATAAGCACGTATCTTATACCAGTGTTGCTAAAGTATTTCTTTATCAGCCTGATTGACATCAGTTAATGCATGCTAATCTTGGTGTAAAATTCTCATTTGCATGTTTCTTTGAATATGGCAAGAAAAATTAGTCATTTTGTGAGCATACTTACCAAACCCCATTTACTGGTTTCCAATATTTTAAAGCTTTGGTAAAGCATTGGTCCAGTGCTGAACAGAAGTTCATTCTTTTCTGGAAGATTTTTCTGGTAATAAAACCTTTATTGTCCTTCATTTCCATTTAGAAATATTAAGAACTTTTAAAACTTTAAACATAAAATAAGCTTGTAACAAAACACAGATCAGTAACTCTCCTTGATGGGAGAAAGTCCTTTTGAATGATTTGGATATATTTATATTAGTGTTTCTAGGTGATGTATTTATACTGATACTTCTTGGTTTATTAAAGTTTCCACATTATCTACTGATAACCAGTTACACAGAATTATTCTTACATACACCAGCCCTTTTCTCCCATGTTCTCCTAATAGGTTGTATGAAATATTTATCTCAATTATATGATCATTGCATGTATTATTCTATGTCTTTATTATATGCCTGTTCACTAATTACTTGTGTTTCTACTTTTCTGTTAGTCACTAAATACTACATAGTGGATTATGAGGTTTCTTCCATAGAAATGTTTTGCATTTCTTAGAATTAATGCCGATAAAGTTCCACTTACAGTCTGTACTTATTTGTGTCCTTACTCTCATGTGGCAATCAGGACTTTTGCTGTTGTATTATCCCTTTGATGTGGTTAAGTGTTTCAGAGAATTTATAACATCTTTTGTTTTCCAAGAGCCTTTGATCCTATAGCTTCCATCCTAGATATTAGATGACATGTTTATTCAACTAGCTTTCGAGTTACTGTTTTCTGAACGCTTTTTCTTTGATTGTTTATTGCTTTCATTTTGTTGGGGAATATCCTCAATAGCATTCTCAGAAAGGGTTGAGGAAGACAAGGAAACAAGTCAATCATCACATCTGTCAGACACTTTTCATATATTTGCACTTGCTTGGCTTTTGGCTAAGGTATATAGTTCCATTTTGAAATTATGTTTTCCTCATAATTTTATGGAAGGTATGGATCTTGTGTCTTTGGCACCCAGGCTACTTCTAAGAAGTGCAGCAGCATTCTGATTTCCATATCTTCCTTCTGTCATGAGCATTGTGAAATTCTCCAAGTATCTTTCGAGCTTTGGATAGAATTGCATTCAATATGCTAATAGTAAACAGCTTTAATCTGGAAATTAGGGTCACTTGGTTTTCAGAAGCTTATAAAATGTGATGAAAACACTGATCCTTCATATGTTCATTGGGGGCATACTTCCATTTACACATACTCCTTCTTGGTTGAGCAAAGACATTGTTTGGCATAATTGCCATGGGTTCAAAAATTCTTTCCTTACTCCCCTTTACAACATACTATACCCAGCTCCAAGTGGATGCCTTTTTGAACCCCTCTGCCTTTTTCTCTTTCACTCATTCAAATCCAGTCATCAGGGCTGGGCTGAAATCATTTGCTCCAGGAAGGCCTGACAATTTCCATTTCTAAGTCTGTTATTTACTTTATCATGTCATTTGAACTTCACATTGTAAAACCAAATTTATTTTTATATATATGGCCATAGGCACAAGAGACTATAGAACTATTAGCTTTTCTGTGGGGAGCAACTTGGACTAGACTAAGTTACTGGAATTAAGACTTATTCTATGCATCTGCTCTCCCACAATATGGCGCTGGGAGAGGAGGAAACAGCTTCTACACAGCTGCCTCCAGTTCAACCAACAAGCTGCAGGACCTGCTCCTGATTGGAGGAGAGCAGCATACTCGGCGTGTGGGTAGCAGAGTTGGGATTGGTGGAAGAGGACTATAAAGGAGGAGAGAGACAACATGCACCAGGAACATCTAAGAGGAACATCTATCTGAAGGAACACCTGTGCAGCCCCCGAGAGAGCCGGCCGGCGGTGTGCCGCTCCCCCGCGGAAGTGGGGAAAGTGGCTAGGGGGAACCGCCCTTCCATGGAGGTGGAAGGGACGGTAGCCAACCCGGGAAGAACCAGCAGCAAACCCGGGGAGGGCCGAGCAGACAAAAGAACAGCGCAGGGTCCTGTGTCATTCCTCCACGAAGACGGGGAGCGACATAATGGTGCCGTGACTCGGATATGAAGCCTAGGCAGGGTTTAGTGTCGTTCCTCCATGAAGAGGGGGAGCGACATAATGGTGCTGTGACTCGGATATGAAGCCTAGGCAGGGTTTAGTGTCGTTCCTCCATGAAGAGGGGGAGCGACACTTTTCCTACCCAATTCCATTTAAATACCTTTGGGTTCTATCTCCCCTGCCTACATTCATCTTGTTCTACAAGACTTCAAGTTTGAAGTATACGGATAACGATGACATAACAATTTTAATAGGTTAACACTTTAGCTTTCTGGAAACTTAGTATCTTTAAGCCACTGTCCTTTGAAATCTTTCACCATTCAAAACATCTCCTAGACATATTCTTTCCAACTTTCCAAAGGCAAAGTATTCCACTGGGGCTGGTGTTGTGGCACAGATTAAGCCACCATTTGTGATGCCCACATCCCTTATCAAAGCACCAGTTTGAGCCCTGATAACTGCTTCTGATGCAGCTTCTGGCCACTGTGCCTGCAAAGACTGAAGGTGGCCAATTACTAGGGCTCCTGGCACCCATATGGAAGATCAGGATGGAGTTCCAGGCTCCTTCCTTTGGCCTGGCCCAGCTCTGGCTGTTGCTGCCTTTTGGGCAGTGAACCAAAAGGTAGAAGCTCTCTACACCTCCACCCCCCACCCCTTTTCTCTGCCTTTCAAATACATTTTTTCAAAAAATATTGGAAATTATTTGGAAGTTTTCTGGAAGAGAATTGAGTGTTCTAAATAAAATTTATAAAATTAAGCCTTTACTTCTCATGGTGATTGAAATAAAGGTATGCTCCAGAAAAAAGGAGTTTAAATCAATTTTTATTGTGCTCACCAAGTTGCAAACTTTATTTTCCTTTCAGCACACTATAGATGCTATAAACCATGTCTAAGTAGGAAGGAATTACTTCATTGAATGTTTTAGATCAAACTAAGTTTCTATCCAATCTTATGAGTGCATTTTCGTATAAATATATCCTTAATCATAGCTTAAGAAAATTCATTTCACAAAATAACCAGACTGCATTAATTTCTAAGTAATGGAATATTTTAAAAACTCATCCAAAAATGTTCAAAGTTGAGGTCGTTACATATTCTACTTGTATTATTTTTTAAGCATTCAATTGCATTGTAATTATGTGGAATTTTTTTTAGTAGTTTAATACATGAAGTGATTGTCAAATGCCCAACTCCCAATTCCAGGCACATTAGAAGAATATGTAAAGTGACAGCTTACCAAGAACAGAAGCCTTCAGAATGCCACTTGATCAAGAGTTGGAGAATCAGCCTTCTGAAGGTCAAGTCAATACAAAAATCAAATACGAGGAAGTATATGTATGTGTGGAGGGGCGTGATATGGAGCATGGAATTATAGTTAATACATGATACGTTGGAAGATAAATGATATGATAGATAAGATGCCAAGTTCCCAAATTTCATTCATGGCACAACCTCACTTTCATTCGAAGGACTGGGGACTCTGCCAGAGAAGGAGGGGGTTACTTTTGTATATGAGTAATAAGAATTAAATGCCAGATTTTTGGTCTTATATCTTAAGTCCAAGTCCTATTGATTACCCCGCCCCCCTCAGTAAACTTAGCAGGGCGGAGACCAGCATGCTAGAGGGGAAAGTCCCGCATTGGGATATCCCCAAGCAAACACCCAACACTTTTGTCTCATGTGTCTCTTGAGAATAATGTTCAAGGTAGCCCAGAAAACATACTGGGAAAATAATCCTAAAAGAAGAAAAGATTGACCAATCATGATTACCAACTTAGAATGGTTTTTAAGTACAGATTACAGTACTGAAAGACAACAATATTATCCAATATTCAATGTGGTGGATGGAGGGGCAATGATAGACATCCCTATTTGCTTCCCAATAATTTTGAAAGATTAGGTAACCTTAAAACATCTCCCTTGAGATCCCCTTTTAAACCTTGATTTGAGAGCTCCTTTTACCTGTTTGTATCAGTAAGTGCTCAAAGAAGCAGAACCAGTGAGAAATTGAAAGAATTTAACTTCGACATGAAACCACACTTAACTGTGGGAATTGGTTAAGCAATCTGTCACTTTCTTCTTTGCCTTATGATGCCACAATGTGTCGTCAGGAAGTCGAGAATATAAAAGGGCGGGGAGAGGGAGAGCAAGCTGAACCCCTTTGGAGCCCAGGACAATCAAGTGGAACACACGTCAGTTTCTCTTGCTTCTGATCTTAGTGGAACAGACATACCACGGAAGCCGGAGCCCTTTGATGCAGTTGCTGCTTCGTGTCTTTATGGTGCATCAGCAGCTCGGGGACAAGACCTGTGGTCCGCTCAGTGACTGCCACTTTCCTCCACCTTCCAAACTTCACACAATCCCGTTAGCCACACCAACTGGAAACATACCAGAAATGGAATTCTGGGAACTGTAGCCACCAGGTTATGCTTACATAGAAAATTGACACAAAGCCATAATACTGATATTCTTGAAAACTCAAGACTGGGAAAACTTATTCAAAATGAAACTTCATTTTTAAGATTTGAAAATCAGAGAGGGAGAAACAGATAACTTCCCATCTGCCGGCTCACCCTCTAAATGGCTGCAACAGCCGGGGCTGGGCCAGGTCAAAGCCAGGAGTTTCTTTCAGGAATCCCGTGTGGGTGCAGGTCTCTACTTGGGCTATCTTTGGGGGTTTCCCAGGTGCATTAGCAGAAAGCTGGATGAGAAGTGGAGTAGTCGGGACTCACACCGGCACCTGTATGGGATGCCAGCACTGCAGACAATGACTTAACCCACTGTGCCACAGCGTCAGCCCCACAAACTCCATTCTTCACCCCTCAGAACAGTTAAGTCACTAAAGGGAAATCACTTGTTCAATTACATTTCTAGACTGGAATGACTTTGAAGGTCAAACTGTCTCTTGCTCAAAGTTCCTTCAATAAAGCATCACATACTTGCTGACAGTGATTGTCACCATGTGCAAATCTCCCTTGGAAGATTTGAGGGATCAAATTGGGGCATTTGTGGATTCCATATTTCTTTAGTCAGAAGACAGGGCCTGTAGGTAAACCTTGAACCTTCACAGCAATGCATTCTATAAAAATCTGGACCTTGACCAACACTGATCAATCATATCCCACTTTGTTCCAAGTCAGTGTCAGTATGCCGAATGTGCAAGTCCTTTTGTACTTTTAAAAACGTGTTTCCTTTGATTTTAGTCAAGTTTCTACTGACATTTTTTACCTTTAAGTCTCAAATACTTTTCCAAAGTTAATGCTGGTTAGTGCCTCATTCAGGACTAGAGCCCAAGTCACAGATTTCAAGATGTAATTTAACAAACACACAGTAAGCACCTCTTCAATGCCAGGTTCTGGGTTAGGCATTGCAATTACCAACACTCACTAAATAGTCTGGCTCGTGAAGAACTCGAAGCATGTCAGAGAGTCAACTTTGTAGTTGGCATGGTATCTGAGAAAACTGAGGTCAGAACCAACTGACTCGATTCCAGAGGAAGAAGCCATTAAATGCAGGCAATCACCAGGAAATCTGGTGTACTAGAATCAGTCACTCCAGCTAGCAATGGTATTTCTGGCTATTAGCCAAGAGGGGACAGAACTTTAAATGTGTTCTGGCTTCAGGGAAGAATGGGTAGAGGCACAAAGTCCTCAACTTATTGAAATAGGGAAGGGATAGAAGGAAGCCCCCCCCCAAAAAAAAAAAAAAAGATACAGGTTAGTGATCATGTGCCTTTAGATTATCATCAGTAAGTCAGTATCAATATGAATACTCACATGTAGACATGTTCCTTTCTTTTACAAGATGTGGTATATTGTGAATTGGGTTGAAGGCCAGGAAGGAGAACTATTAGGCAACAGCTTAATTTCCATTACTGTGAGAAGTACACCTTGACCTTAACTTTAACTCTGCCCAAACAATATTCCCAAGTTGTACTCCTCTTAGATGGAATTACAGTGATGAGACATGAAATTCAGGCCAACAATTTGGAAAGCTCATCACAGACCCAAAGTAACCCAGCAAAATATTACCTGTAAGCAACATACAATTCTTCTGAAACAAGAGGTGATAAGTCAACTATTTTCTTTGTATTAACTTGAACACTATTGTAACTGTCTTTACAGATTAACATTTGACAGTTTGTCTCCAAGTGGGCCTCTTGAGGCCAAAACATAGGGAGAAATACAAAATAGAAGACGAGACTGATAGACAATGGCCTTGAACGTCAATTTATAACATTTGGAGTAAATTCTGCAATATATTTGCATATAACCTATGCATATTCTTCCATATACATTAAATCCTCTCAATTACTTGTAAGATCCTGTGCAGACTGTTACCTAAATGGGTATTGTATTGTTTAGGCAATGAGACAATAAGGTCTGTACATGTTTAAGTACAATTACCACTTCAAGTATTTCTAGTCCATAGTTGATTATATGCATGAATCTGGAATCCAGGTATGTGGGCTGACTGTAGTGCCATTTTATTCTACCAAGAAAGTTGGGCACACAATTTCAGGTTTTAGTTTTGAGTCTGAAAACTAGAAGTGATGTACAATCAAATAGAACCAATGAGACAAAAAGCCAATTGTGTACCCACAAGTAGGGCAGCACATTTCAGTGACACAAACGGCAAGCCTGCTGGCCATAATAATGTGGAAGCTGTCCCCTAGTTTTAACAAGGCCAGATATTACCCTGTTGTCTAATGGCATTTGGAGCTGTTTGATTTAGTCTGTTATAATAATCAACTTTCAGTGAGTAAAGCTACTGCCTTGAGGATCAGAAGTATACGCCTCACCCATGGTGCATTAGTATATAGTTCCGAGGTGTTGTTCAGACAGGGGACCAAATTGGAAGCAGCCTTGGGCATACTAACAAGTCCAAATAGGTCTTGTCACCCAGCATTCCAGGCTCTCTGTGAAGTATGTCTCTGGTCTCCCTAACTGGTCTCTGGAAAGGACCAACAAAAGCGCTCCTTTTAAGGCCTGCACTGTGGCTCACTAGGCTAAGGCTCCACCTGCGGCTACGGCTTCCCATATGAGCGCCGGTTCATGCCCTGGCTGCTCGTCTTCTAATCCAGCTATCTGCTTATCTGGCAAAACTGTGGAAGATAGCCCAAGTGCTTGGCCCCCTGCAACTGCATGGGAGACCCGGATGGAGCTCCTGGCTCTGGATGGGCTCGGCTCTGGCCATTGTGGCTATTTGGGCACTGAACCAACGCGTGGAAGGCCTTTCTCTGTCTCTCCCTGTCTATGTCTATGTCTCTCAAACTCTTAAAATGTTTATTTTCATGATTTCCAACTTTATTCTAGCTGCTGACATTTTTATCCCTTTGAAATAAATTCTGGACAGCGACTTCAATACAGATAATACATAGAAGTCAAGTCTTTGGTCTCAGCTCCTGTTTCCAAAAATGTGAAACTTTAAGATCACTTAACTTCTGAGTCTCACTTATTTTTAATCTTTGAATGGAATAATACCTGCCTTACTTCACATGGCAGTTGTAAGAATCAAGTAAGTCATTCATGTGAAAAGACTTTGAAGATTAAAAATATCATACATATCTGAAATATCATTAGGGCATGAAAATGTAAGCACTCAAGGGGACACACATTTGAAGGAATAAATGGCTTTCAAGCCAGGAGTATTTCACAAGTGGCCAAGGACATAGTCTTGGTAGTTTACAGAATGACCTGGCGGGCGCCGCGGCTCAATAGGCTAATCCTCCACCTAGCGGCGCTGGCACACCGGGTTCTAGTCCCGGTCGGGGCGCCAGATTCTGTCCCAGTTGCCCCTCTTCCAGGCCATCTCTCTGCTGTGGCCAGGAAGTGCAGTGGAGGATGGCCCAAGTGCTTGGGCCCTGCACCCCATGGGAGACCAGGAGAAGCACCTGGCTCCTGCCATCAGATCAGCGCGGTGCGACAGCCGCAGCACGCCAGCCATGGCGGCCATTGGAGGGTGAACCAACGGCAAAAGGAAGACCTTTCTGTTTCTCTCTTTCACTATCCACTCTGCCTGTCAAAAAAAAAAAAAAAAAAAAAAAAAAAAAAAGAATGACCTCTTGGTAAGGGTTCTCTTTATGAACAAGGACTTGGCATTTTTCATGTTTGGGGATCATTGTGCATGCTTTTTGCCATTTGTAAGGTGAGAGCTGGGCATTGGTCATCCTCCTCCTGGAATTTTCTTCCTTTTACTTAATTCTATGTCCCCCTTTCCACATTCTCGTCATGTTCCCTGTTAGGGCCCATGCCATTTCTCAGACTGCCTCAAGTACATCACGTGTAACATTGTAGTATCAGGGTTCTCCAGAGAGACAAACCCAGCAGGATGTAGACGAATACATAGGAGTACTTCAGAAGACTTGTGGAAAATGGAATTGAGATTTTCAAAAAATTCAGCATATGTGTGTTTTTAATGTTTTCCACGAACTTTTAAAACCTGTTATTTTGGGGGCAGAGACAGCTCCCATCTGCTGGTTCCCACCCCAAATGTTGTCAACAGTCCAACAGCAAGAAGCCATGAACTGGGAAGTCAATTGAGGCCTCTGGTGTAGTTGACGAGAATTCAAATATCTGAGCCATTACTATTATAATGGTCTGCATTAACAGGAAGCTGCAGTCAGAAGCCAAATGGGGCACCTAAACCAGGCACTTTGTTATGGGGTACAGGCATCTTAACTGCTAGTTTAAACACCCACCCTGCATGAGCTTTTTGAAGAGGTGATTTATTTGGCAAATTGAGTCACATAACTGAGGTTTACAACCCCACATTAATGCTCTTTGCAAGCTCATATACCTGTGATTCCAAGTCTAAAGGCCCCTCAGAACCAGGAAAGCCAGTGGTAGGATAGAAGATATTTTAAGTCTACAAGATAGAGGGAAGGATAGGCATTTGGGGGCAGCAGCTTACTACCACTTGGGACTCCTACATTCCATGTCGACTCTAATTCTCCACTTTCCATCCAGCTTCCTGTTAATACACCTGGGAAGTAGCTGATCACGTCACAGGTGCTTCAGTTCCTGCCACCCACATGGGAGACCATGATGAGGTTCCTGGCTCTGGGCTTCAGTATGGCCCCATCCAGGCTGTTTGTCATTTGTGGAGTTGGACAGTGCATGGTGTTCTCCTCTCTGCCTTTCATATAGGTCTCCAAGAATGATTCTGAAGTCACCTTTGGAACTAGAAAGGTGGTTGAGAAGCAAAGCAGAAAGGGAGAAGGGGATGAATAGCACTTCCCTTTTTATCCAGGTAATCACCTTATTTGATGGTGCATGCCCACATTGGGTGAAGGAACACATTCCTTGCTCAGTCTACTTATTCAAATGTTAATCTCTTTGACAAACACCCTCATAGCCACACCCAGAAATAATGCTTTCCCAGCTACCTGGGTATCCTTTAACTCAGTCAATATGGTATCCAAAATTAGCTATGGGCAAGACTGGGAATGATCACACTCATGGTTTTGTTAGCACAATCTGTCTTTATGCCCATAGTCTCAACACTGAATTCTAATGAGTGTGTATATCTCCTTCGAGCTGTTCTACATGGTGCACTCTCAACATCATACCACAGTAAATCAGCTAAGGTGGTAAAGTTCCATTGCAATCCGTGTCACATTTCAAGTAGAAAAATCAAGAGCAATGTGTAGGAAGAGGGAGGGTATCCCAAATAAACGTCTATCAGGAGAGGAGCGAAATAACGACCAAGGTGGGTTTTTATCTGTGGATCATGGCAAAACTTTGTGTTATGGCTTGCTTTGGCTTTAAGCCTGGCCCACCTCCACTGCTACCTTGCAATGGAACACGATAATGAGAGGCAAAACCCTATAGGAATTCCACAAATGAGAAAGCAAATGTCCCACACTACAGGGACAGCCCTGGTGACTCCGGATGTTACACTTCTATGTCCTGTCACTAAGCCTCTGATACATTTGCAGACATTTTAATACTCATAGCAATAACCCAAATTATGCCTAAGGAGTGACTGTGGCAACAGTGTTTCTCTTTCCATTTTGCCCCATAATTGTGGTTCATGTGATACTGTGGCCATACGTCTATCCTTGGAATCAGCAAAAAAACAACCATTTCTTAGTTCTGAAGCAAGCACAATGACTGATTGAAGTAGGTATAAAAATCACTTTCTGCTTTATGATGTGTGGATTAATGAAAGTATTAAAACCATTCTAATGATAGATAAGGAAATTATTTCCACTGTAGCTTAAAGAAATAAAATGGCTCCATCTTAAATTAAACAGGTCTAAAACTTTGCAAGCTCATCAAAAGTGCATGGGCAACAAAGAGGTACAAGTTTATAACCCATTCTAGAGCACCTTAATTTCCTAACATCCATCATTTTTCTGCTTCATTACTGTTGGCGTGCTTCTCAGAAGCTGCTGGGAAAACTAATCTTTGCAGAAAATAAATATGACTGAGGCTACTGTCTAAGAAAAAGAATTCCTAGGATTCCCCCCATTGTGTTAACACGCTGCACTGTTAGTTTTATTTCGTTGACACTGCTGCCTTTGAAACAGCTGTGTCCTAAGCTTAAGTGGCATGATTGCAGCCCTAAGACTAAATCTACACATTGATAAGAACCCAGCCATTACTATCCGAGGTCATCCGAGGTCATGCTTGGTACACATGGTCCCTTGAGTTTTAGTACAGTTTTGTTCAGAGAGGCAGCATAGGATTTTTCCTGTGGAAAATGAAACCATAAGGAGTGATGTCAGAACATGCTTACCGGGTACTTCCCGTGTACTGCTTTTTTTTCTGAGCCCTTCATCTTATTTCAGTCACAGTTGTCGTCTCCAGGTCACCAGACTTTGGGCAGTTTTCTTCATTGTCAGCTTCAGGTCCTAGGCTTCATAATCCTTGCTTAATGAAGTTGAGTCCTAGTGAAGTAGGCAGGCATACAGGTTAAAGTAGATTAGGTTTGTGAGCTGAAAGACCACACCTTTGCCATACCCCTGTGTGACCTCACGCCTACCTGATACCTTCACCACGCCCCTGTGTGACCTCATGCCCCTACCTGGCCACACCTGGTTGCCCACCAGCCAAATCAGATTAATTAACCACTCCCCTTTGGAAATGGGTTAAAAGCCTGGAATATGGTGTGTCCAGGCCCTCCTGTCTTTTCCCTGTCCTCTTGCCAGGAGGGGGCTTGCTGTAAGCCCTGCGCCTCCAGGGCACATGGCCTTTGGGCCACCTGCCCTAGGCTTCCTGGCCTAGATGCTTCTCCACGTGGCTGGTTTCTGGTGCTCAGTGTGAACCCAGATTTACCTCTTTTAAATAAAGTTCTCATTCTCCTATGCACCTTTCGCACTAAAAGCCTAAAATATACCATGCTGCCTTGTTTATCTGTGCCGGTATTTAGAGTTATTCTCTAAATATTAGACAAGAACCCTCTCAAGCTTATTAATATTGGGGATTAAAAAACATGGTGATATCGTATGGCACCCCAAATCCCCATAGCATACCAGATGGCGCTTCTGGGGAACTTTAAAGGGCCACATTTTCATATAGATTTTAGGGGGTCATCTCCAGTTTCACTAGATTTTACCGGGACACTGACAAGAACCGAATTGGCATTCATGAGCCCACAATGCACAAGTCTAATGAGCGGCCATGGACCTACAGTTCAACAATGGGCCAGGACTGGAGGATTGTATGCCCTCACAGCTGTTCACTCTAACAATTCTGAAAGCCATTGTGCTGCACCTCATCTCAACAATGAGTTTTCCTCTTCATATCTCCTTTCCCTTAAATCCACTCTATGAAGTTGCTTTCATAAGCAAACTACCTTCTTGCAATTGTTTTTCTCCCCCTTCATTGTTTAGCTTTAAATAAAGACAAAACTTCTGTTCTTCAGTGATGGTAATTAGAAGTCACTGGTACAGATGTTCTCTTCCCTTGCTCCTCACTAATTAGTTATAGAAGCATTTGGCACTCAGCCACGGAATGACCTCACAAATCTTTTCAGTATCCTGTCCAAGTAGGTTTGTCGCTGGTTTTTATTTGATACCTGTTAGCCTTCTTTGCCTTAGGTCTCCTACCAAGGAAGGGATACAAGGTCAACATGGAGCTCTGTCTCCCTTCTTAGAATCAGTTGTTCTGTAAGTGCTTAAGAACTAAGGACACTGACCCCCACTAATAAATGTAATTCTCGTGTATGTCCCAGAATGGCTACCAGACATGGGTAAGGCTTCTCCTTAACTCAGTTTACTTCATAAGTTGTCAGTCACTGATATTGAGTATTCAAATTTCTGCTTCAAGGTATCCACTTTTTAAGTCCATTGGTATTTCAGACTTCCAACAACCTCTAAAGCAACGTGCTTATACAATCACACACACAATTTGTTCCTTGACTAAGATCAACCTCTATTACTTCTGATCTCAGAGAACATATGTTTTAGAGACCAATATTGTTTATTTATAGATTTTTCTCCCAGTTGCTCATTTAATACCAAGTTTTTGGCCTGAATTTAATGAAGTTAGGATAATGAAATGCTAATCCAACTCCATCTGTTTTCTTCTTCCAGCTCTGAAGCAATGGAGTAGTGTTCTAACTCAAGTTAGATTATCTTTACCCCCAATTTACTACTTAGTCTGTCTGCATTTTAATTCATTCTGCCTAAATTTGTTGTATGCAAGAGTAAATTGATAGCATCTTGTCTTTATCACTTGTTTCTACCCCAAATCCTTTCTGATGACTTCAAATTGCTAACTACAGAAACCCACTCAGGTATTTTGATGTATGCACAAACCAGGGGATGGAAAATACTTAACACCTCAATGAGAAACTGATCAATGGGAAAGACCTAGCAGGAAATAGCCTCTTCTCAGCCCTTTGGGGGAAATTCTTCTAAATTTTACATGATGCTTCAAAAGATCTGTAATGGGGTTAAGACACAGTTGTGATAAATTCAGTTTATTCATCATTCTTGAACTAGATTAGATTTCCCCCTTCAATTTTTCTCTTGGGAATTCTGATCTCCAATTTTTTGCAGTCACTTCTCAAAACTAATTGCATAAAAGTCAGATCCTCAGGCTCTGCTTTTGAGGGGGACCAAATTTAACGTAGTTTGAAAAGTGACCTACAAAGCAGAACTCTGAAAAAGAATTCTGGAACAAGATCACTCAGTTTAGCAACAGTAAGTTTCCTCCATGCTGGTGTTAAATGAAGAGGTAACACACTTCACATCTAAAAGCATTTTGACAACTAGGATTGTCACTAGTGGCAAAATTGCAATGATGAAGCATGGTCTGAAGAAATATTTGCCTGTATTGTATGGTGAGATTTACAGCATACGTGGACAACTGAATTGTTACAAGTTTGATTGACAGCTTTAGAAGACATGAAAAAAATACAACATACTCAAAGTTAGTCAGCATTAACTCAATGCATAACTTGAGAATGCCTTTATGGAAGTGTTTACCTAGACCCTAAATTCCTCTAACAGTTTGACAGTGCTGAGTATTGTTAATTTTGCAGTTGAATCCTAACTACAAAGTTGAACAAATTACAGCCTCAAATATATGTTATGATAATCATAATTATGGGAGGAAACAAATACAACCCTGAGACTTCAGAAAGGGACATTTGACCATATAAACCTAAGTAAGTTCTCATATTCCCCTAAGCCCTTATGTCCAGAAGGAGCACCAACAACCTTTTTAAGAAGCTTTGAAATGTAGTCCATGTTCTCCGAGTCGTATCTAACAAACTCATGTTTTCAACTTTGGTCCTATCTTCCCTAACCACACCAACCCGTATCACATCTCAGCAGTGTCCAAGTACAAACAGTACATAACAATTTATACCTCGTCCTCCCAAATATTGAACATGTATGATTTATTGTTAAAACTGCACGACCCTGGGTCAGAACAAATGTGAGGGTATTTCATCAGTGAAGCTAGAACATCATGGCTAGTGGGCTGTCTACAGGTGCGGGGCGGGGGGATTTTTCCAAGTTGACTGAAAAGACGGCTGTATCTGCTTTAGCAAGGGCATTGCAAGGCCACCTCTCATATTTGTATTATATCCCATTTCTTTCCTGTGGTACCTGTGATTGTTTACCAGAAAAAAAAAATACACACTAGAGAAAGTAGCTTGCTCATTACTACCATTGGTTGTTAGCAAACTATCCAAATTATTACCAGTGCTCTTGCATAGGATCCTGGAGGGCAGGCTTGTGGTGGTCATAGTTCTGGCCCACATTCGTCTCCCAGTAGGTTCAGTGGGTTCAATGACCCACCCTAGAATCTACATAATGGGGATATGGCCCTCCCTCGGCAGCATCCTATTAGTTGTTTAGCCTATAAAATAAGGGCTCATCTCCTTCCCTGTTCCAGTATTTCACAGGACAGCCACACTTAGACACAAGGCCTCATTTCAGGTTATGGTTTCTGAAGGGAATTTTGTCTCCCACTAATGTCTTGATGCACTATAGGAGTCTAGACTCATTTTTAAGTCATCTGATGAAACCATAGGGAAAAAAAACATAGTCCCCAAATTTGACATTATTATTCACTTATCACTACACAGGGCTGTTTTGCGTGTAAATTTGCTTCAAAATGAATTCATGATAAAATCCAGAGGAAAAAAAACTTAGAAGCAAGCTTGTTGCTTTTGAAAAATATTTTAGTCACAAAGCCAAGTTTAATTTATTGGTTAGTTTTGCCAGTAGGTCAATTTGTGTGAATAATCATGTTCATTAAATTTCTGCAAGAAATATTCACAAGAAACCCAGATGTTCATTCAAGGTATCTGTACTTACCTGGCTATGGTTGCTCAAACTGCGTACTGGCAAGTTAGACATTCTGTGCCAAGAATGACCCAGGATATTAACCAACTGGTAAACACCATCTGCTTACGAAGTCCCCTTAACAAAGCAACACCATGGTATCTGATGATCTGGTTCAACTGCTACTGCCTATGTGAAAGCTTTTTTTACGTGTTGATCTATTAGCATGAGGCAATAGTGACCAAATGCCACTGCAGTGTTACATTAAAATTGTATCCCCTGGTTACAGTAAAACAACCAAATCCGTTTGCCAGGAGTGGAAGGCATTCTGGGAGGCAAGAGTGTTTTAAAACCAATACGGGGCGGGGGGCTAATGCTGTGACACAGCAGGTTAAACTGCTGCCTGCAGCACCAGCTTCCCATATGGGCTCTAGTTCAAGTCCAGCTCCTGCATTTGCAATCCGGCTTCCTGGTGAAGTGCCTGGGAAAGCAGTGGAGGATGGTCCAAGTACTTGGGCCTCTGCACTCATGTGGGAGACCTGGAAGAAGCTTCTGGCTCTGAATCAGCTTAGCTGTGGTCATTTTGGCAGTTTGGGAAATGAAACAGCAGATATATATAGCTCTGCCTTTCAAATAAATCTTTAATATATATATATATATATTGTCCCAGGACTAATATTTATATATATATACACACACACACACACACACACACACACACATATGTACTATAGTCCTGGGAAAAGTTCAACACCCTACCTTCTGTCAAAGTGCACCCTCAGTAGGAAGTAAGACCCCTATGTCTTTACAGAGAATACATGAACATTTCAAGTGGTTTCTTAGGTGTGCTGGGAAATACCCATCTTTGTCCTATAGATTCCAGGATCAGGTATTCTACATATGGTGATGACAATGGTGTTACAGAAACCTGGGGTGGACGAACTCCCTTCGTTCAAACAGGCACCGGAGACAGTGGAGGATCCAAGCAGTTCATTAACACCAGTGGGCTTCATTCCCCAAGAACTGAGCAACAATCCCAAGTTTCTACAATATTTAGAGGTTCATCAGCATCATACCTTAACTGTTACAGCACTAAGTTTAAACTGCAGCCTACATGTCTTAGGGCCACGCTGCCAATGGTTGGTGGGTCCAGTATGTTTGTAAAAGATAAAGAGGGCATATTTGTTAGGACAGAT